ATACCTGGAATCCCAGCACTCAGGAGACTAATAAGAAAGGAGAATTTTGAGTTCAAGGCCTGTGTAAGCTACATAGTAAGAACCTGTATGCAGCCCTGCACAAGGTGTAATCCTACTGAAGAAGAAATATTTCAATATTCCCACAAAATGTTTGCTGCAAATACCATATATATTGCTTACGGTATGCTCTAGAGAGAATCTCTTGTGTGCTGTGTGGAAGCATCACCTGTCAATAAAAAGCTGATGGCCAATTAGCAAAAGGCAGGAAATCAGAGGCAGGAGTTCGGGTAGAGAGCTAGGCTTCTAAGTCTTCACCTGGAGGACCAAATTTATAATGCCTAAAATTATTTTTATTTTCTTTCTTTGATAAGAATTATCAGGGGGAAAATGCTTGATCAATATAACAGTTACAGGTTACTTTATTTCTGAAGGGCCTGAGAGCAGTCTTGCCACTAGTGAACAGGGTTAGGGATGGTAGCTCTTAGCATGTTGGTAAGATTTTAATTAATCCACAACTTGTTTTACCCAGTTGTGATGGTTAATTTTATGTCAACTTGAATAAGCTGTGACACCTAGCTTTTCAGCTACACACTAGTCTAGATGTTTCTGTGAGGGATGGAAGAGACTAGTCTTCCATAAATCAACAGATTTTCTGTAAGACAGGTGTGGCTGGCTTCATCCAGTGAGCTAAAGCTTGTTTACAAGGATGAGGCTGGACATGGTGGTGCATGCCTTTAATACTGGCACTCAGGAGGCAGGTGGAGCTCTATGGGTTCAAGGACAGCCTGGTCTATGTATAGAAGGACATACTTCCTAAAAAAGGAGGAAGGAAAGAAGAAAGGAAGGAAGGAAGGAAGGAAGGAAGGAAGGAAGGAAGGAAGGAAGGAAGGAAGGAAGAAAAAGCTAAGGTTTAGAATCCCTTCAAATACTTGCTCAGCACAGACAAGGCCCTGTGTCCAACACAAAAATAGACCCTAACAAATAAATACTTTTAAGCCCTTCAAAGGGACATCTTCCTGGAATGTCTTCAAACTTAACTACAACTTTAGCCTGTGCCTTTGGCCTGCTGTACTACCCTGAATCCACTTTAATTTACCAGCTTTCACAACTACACACACTAAATCTTTAAGCCAGTTTCTATGGACACACAAGTAACCAATCACATATATGTGTGCCCGCATGAACACATGCCCTCCAATGACTGTTTCTCTGGAGAAAACACTAACAAAAACACCAAGTTCTTTTTGGTTTTGGAGATGGGGTTAGGGTTTAGATAGGGGTTAGTTAGGGTTTCTATTGCTTAACTGAGACATTTCCTCAGTCGAGGCTCCTTTCTCTCTGATGACTTCAGTCTGCGACAACTTGACCCACAAACACATCACTGATAAGTTACAACTCTTCCTTTTGGATTCATCTCCAAGGTCTCACATAAAAAGCATTAATAACTTTAAAAGTCTCACCATCTTTACAAATTCAAACACATTAAAAGTTCATTCAGTCCTGTTAAAGCATCCAATCTTTTTTAAAATCTGAAGTCTTTTAAAATTCAAAGTCTCTTAACTGTGGGTTATTGACAGTTAATCCAGTAAGATATTTTCTTACTTCAAGAGGGAAAAATCAGATCATGATCTTCTGGACTCCTCTAAGGGGCTTGGGTCACTTCTCTGGCTCTGCCCTCTGTAGCACACAGCTTGTCTTCTAGGCTCTGGCTGGCTTCACTCCATGACTACTGCTATTCTTGGTGGTCATCCCATGGTTCTGGAGTCTCCAAAATGCTGGAGTCTTCTCCTGAAACTGAGCTGCATTTTCACCAACAGCCTCTCCTGGGCTCTCTTCCTGGTGCCAAGCCTCAACTTCTCTGCATGACTCCTGTAGTCCCGGGCCTTCAGCTGCCACTGAGGCTGCACCTTCATGAATGGTCTCTCCTGGCCTCCTACAGTGCCAAGCCTCAGCTGCTCTCCAAGATCCCTGCATGCCTTCAAAATCAATACCATCTGGGTGACTCTTACACGTTATCAAGTCCAGCTGTAAGAGTAAGGTACAACCTTGGCTATCTCTGGAATACGGCTTCTCTGTATTCTCAGAAATCTCTTCCCAGATTTCACCTCAGTGATGCTGGTCTCTTCTTAATCACAACTAATTTCTTAGCTCCAGCTGACCAGCATCAATTGTCCCAGTAATGTGAAGGTTTCACATCAGTGGTTCTGATATCTTGTTAATCACAGCTGATTCTAACCAGAACCACAGAGTCGTAAGTCAGAATAGCAAATGGCCCTGAAAGAGTCTCAGTTCCCCTCTGAAAAGTTACTGCTCTCGACATTCTCATCTTCCAAGCTCCCACAGGACATCTCACTGAGCTCTCAACACTCAATGGCTCTTCTAGCCCCAAGTTCCAAAGTCCTTCTACAGTCCTCCCCAAAACACAGTCAGGTCTGTCACAGCAATACCCTACTACACTGGTACCATCTTGTCTTAGTTAGGGTTTCTATGGCGATGAAACACCAGGACCAAAAGCAAGTTGGGGAAGAAAGGGATTTCACTTATACTTCCATATCAATGTACATCACCAAAGGAAGTCAGGACAGGAACTCAAGCAGGGCAGGAACCTGGAGACAGGAGCTGATACAGAGACCATGGGGGCGGGGAGTGCTACTTACTAGTTTGCTTCACATGACTTACTCAGCCTGCTTTCTTATAGAACCCAGGACTACCAGGCCATGGATGGCACCACCCACAGTGGGCTGAGGCATCCCCTGTTGATCACTAAATGGGAAAATGCCTTACAGCTGGATCTCATGGAGGCATTTCCTCAACTGAGGCGTTCTCTGTGATGACTCTAGCTTGCATCACCTTGACGCACAAAACCAGCCAGTACAGGGTCTTCCTTAATAGTCCAGATTGGCTTCAAGTTTATGATCCTTATATAAAAAACCTCTTTAGTGTTAGGACTACAGTTGTGTATCAGCACACCTGGCAAACAATATAAATTTTGAAACAGAAATATAATGCTAAAGTAACAAAATGCAAAATTTCCAAGATCTTTAGGTCCATGAAGTGCCAAGCCCTGTATTGCTCTTAGTACATCTTAGAATTCAGGATGTGTGGAATGAATATTTGCAAACAATATTTGCAAACAAGAACTTGTGTTTATTTACTTTCAGGCACCATGCTGAAAACTATCTTACCTTTGTTTACCAAGTTCACTGATCTCCACAAATTCCCTTCAAGAGAGTAATTCTAAGTCCCTGTTACAGAGATAAGGAAATCTCGGCTTAGAGTTGAACGGTGCTGTTCACTCACACCATAACTACACAGTGAACTAAAAGCTCACAGCACTTGCCGTCTGGCAACCCATGTGTGACCCCCAGACCCTGCATGGTGGACGAAGAAAACTGACTCCTAGAAGCTGTTCTCTGACCTCTATACCATGGCACATACACACAAGTCTATAACCTGTAAAGAAATTTTTTTAAAAAAAGGTATTTTTAGTTTGAATATGAAATGTACCTCCTCAATAACATGTTGATGGGCTTTCCTGATGGGGTTGGAGGCTCAAATCTAACCAATGGCTTAATCCCTCGATGGATTCATGGTAATAGGAAATCATTGGGAGATAAAGAACAGGAAGTGGGGGCCTTGTTGGAAGAGGTATTTGCTGAGCCTGAGTGTACCTTGAGGTTATGTTCTCCCCACCCTCTTGCAGCAGCACCCTTCTGCTTCCTGGCCACCATGATTGTGAAGCGTTCTCCCCTGCCACACTATCCTCGAAGCACGATGGATCCAGGAGCCAGAGCCAGTCTTTCCCTCCTTACCCTGCTTCTGTCGGGATTTGGTCACAAGTAACGATAAAAGTGATGAATACAGCTGTGCATACAAATAATGTGCCAAACCGGAAAGATAACTAAAGATAACAAAATTAGAAATTAGGAGAGTGACTATGTGAATGTAGCAAACAACTCTTGAAAAGATGAATCGTTACAGAACTGAAACTCAGGGCTGGAGCACACGGAGAGGTCATGGGTTTCATTCCCCAGCGCGCGCATGCGCGCGCGCGTGCGCGAACACACACACACACACATCATCTCACGGTAAAAATGGCACCAATAAAACATGGAAAGTTTATAGCTAAATTTATAGTACCTTTGTCTTAGTTTAAAGAGATATTGTGACCATGGCAACTCCTATAAGGAAAACATTTAATTGGGTCAGGCTTACAAATCAGAGGTTTAGTCCATTGTCATGTCAAGAAGCATGGCGGCACACAGGCAAGTGTGGTACTGGACAGGTAGTCGGAGAGTTCTGCCTCCATTTGGCAAAAAGAGAGAGACACTGGGCCTGGCTGGAGCACTGGAAACCTCAAAGCCCACCCACCCCCAGTGACACACTTCCTCCAACAAGGCCACGCCTCCTAATAGTACACAGCCCTCTGAGGCTGTGGGGGCTATTTTCATTCAGACTACCACAGCCTCAAAGCCTGTTTAATCTTTCACAGTTGAGGTTATTAGAATCAAGTACTCACATCCACGAAACTTTGATGTCGCTCAGAATCACACTGAGTGCAATCTTTCATAACAATCCTCATTGATTTTTTTTTCTCATTAATTTCTCATTAGTAAATTTTTGTCAGCTTTAATGATGTTCAGAAAACAATCTCTCAGGCCTGGGCTTGTAGCTCAGTGGTAGAGTGCTTTCCCATGCACGAGAGCCTGGGTTGGATCCCTAGCATTTCAAGCCAAAACAAAACAAAAAAAGTAAAAAAGGAAGAAATACTAAGCACAACCAAGTGTTTCCATTTTATTTAACACTTAAGCAGATTATGTTTGCCATCCATATGATACAAAGTCCAAAACAAAAAGAAAGTGCAGAACACCACAGACATACAGTTAGAAGACTTAAATTGTCACAAGAGGTTCAAACAGGCACGTTTTCTCATTTAAAGGAGCCAGGGCCTTTTCTGAAAGCGTGTTGGACCTGAGGTGGTGCTCATGGATCTCTTGTATCTACTCGCCTTTGAAATACTTCAGATTGCTTAGCACATACGCCGCTGGGATGTAAAAGGTTGTAAAAAACACGATGATTCCAATGGCCGATTCCTGGAAAGGAAGAAAAGTAATATTAATGAATATGACCCACTGTCTAATAAAACGGCTTATGGGCAGAGGTGCACGGAGGTTAGCAGCAGGACACCGGCTTTTATGCACAAAATTCTGGGTGTGTTTCCCCCTCCTCATACACACAGCTAAAGATCTTTCTCGAAGGTCGGAGAGATGGCTCGTCTGCTAAAACCTTCTACCACTCTTGCAGAGACCTAGATCTGGCTGCCAGAACCAATGTCAGGCAGGTCATAATCGACTGTAGCTCCAGATCCAACACCTCTGGGCTCTTCAGATACCTGTACTTCAGCTCACACAAGCACAAAAGTAGGCTGTGAAATGTATCACGTGACCTCAAAGGCGGGGGGGGGGGGGGGGGGGGGGGAGGGGGGGCTTGGGTCCTGGCAACATATTCCCATTTGTACTCAACTGAATTTTCAGAAAACTCAATTTCTTTCAGTAGTTGCCAGTTTCTGACCTCTGGGCCCTGGAAGCTCGAAGTTGTCGAGCATCTCCACTATTTTTTAGAGAAAAAGCTATGGCTTGGCTACGAGGCAGGTAAACTGTGAACCAAGGACCCTGCACCTCCATGCCCATAAAGTAGGGCCAGGTCTTACCCAGGATTCACTCTCGCCCTGAGCCCCCATCCAAAGTGACCCCACAACCGAAGCCGCCAACACACATGCACGCGTGCTCGCATACACACACACACCACACAACACACCAACACACACACACAACACACACAATACCCACAAAACACACACACAGATACACATACCACAC